ATCGGGCGGGGTTACCCCGATCGCGCCTTCTGCTGGCGGTCGTATTTGAAGGTGTACTTGGCATCGGCCTCGCGCTTGTCCATATCCTCTGGTTTGCTTCTACTTCTGATCCCTCCCTCTTCCTCCACCGTCCTCCTCCCTTCTCCTCCCTTCCACTCATCCTCTTGCTCCTCCATCTCCCTCCTCCCGTCGTGCATTGGACTTGTGCCCCAGCCGATTTAGGCCCTGTGTCCTTGTCCCGCATGTGGAACCCAGAAAGCCACTCTGGAATCTGGCGGCCGTCCCTGGAAGCAAATGTTCTATGCATTTGCCGAGGAAGCTGAGATAACAGCGAAGGTAAAGGTGGAGAAGGGGGGACGGGCGAGGAGGCTGCAGAAGTCACACCTGACCTCTCAAATACAACCGTCGCCTGGCATCGATAAAGGAGATTGTGTCTGCGTGTCCCTATCCTCATGCTCCCTCCCCACCCTCCGTGCAACTATTCCTTGCGCAGTACAAGTAAAAAGCTGTAAAACAAAGACCTGCATTTGATAAAGGTCTGGTCGACGTGTCGAAGCATAGCTCTGAAACGCTGCCCGATCGACTCGGGTCACAAGGAAGACAAATCGGACTGATGCGACGCTTGCTAATGTTTATGGGTGGGGGGCCCTGGAGCTCTAACGTTCTAGAGTGGTGGTATGGGCGTCGGATAGGCGGCAGCCTGGTTGGATCATCCTGGTAGTCTCCGTCGCCCAGCTCCTCGCCTCGGACTTCAGCCGCCAGACTTTCTCCTTGTCGCTGGCGTGCTGCTCGAGGATTTTGAGGAGCTCGCTGTACGCCATCTGGTTGGTAACCTGGCTCGCGCGGGATATCAAAATCAGCAAACTACATACGATGAGGAGGAAAACGGGGAGGGAGAGAAAAGAAGATAAGGGGAAGGGGGGAGGGGACCGAACGACTCACCCGAGGACGAGGCAAGAGGGAGGGAGAGAGGGGACCAAACGGTTCACCACCCTCGAATGAGCCGGTCTGTCCCCTCCCTCACTCCTGCCTCGTCCTCGGGTGAGTCGTGCGCCTCGTCTGCGGTTTCATTTGTTTTTTATTTATTCATATCCTCCCCATCTCCTGTACCTCCTCCGGCTCCCCCGCCCCACCCTTAAGCCAAGGCACCTTGCGAATCTCGTTGATCAGTTGTTTGTGCTTGATCAGTTGGTCGGTGTCTGGCGGGTCATCCAACTGCGGATCGTAAGCCACGGAGTTCTGGTCTATAACAAACAACTCGATTGCCGCTGCCACTGGCTCTGCAACGGCATCGCCCCCGAGGAGCGACTTGCGCCCCGTCCCCCCAATGACCATGGTCGTCGGCTTATGTAAGCTGGACAACCTAAGCCTACACGGCTGCGGGGGAGGAGAAGGGGGAAGATGGGGCTTGGGGAACCTTCGGAAACGTTTGGGGGATTCCAGGAAAACTTATAAGAATGTATAGGAAGCCCCCCCCTTTCTCATGATCCTCCTGCTTACCTAATCCTTTTATATTCCAACGAATTCTACGGACTTACAGGAACCCCAAAGGATCTGAAAACCTAGGACCCCCTCCCTCATTCCTTTCCCCCTCCCCCCCCTTGCCTCAAGAGCGGTCGACGTCGCTGTTTTTCGCCGCCTCCATCGTCGTCGTCGTCGACGACGTCGTCGCCGTCATCGTTGTCGTCATCGTCGTCGTCGTCGTCAGTGAGCTTCCACGACGGCGGCCCAGCGTGGGACTCATTGCGCACGCGGCGCAATGAGTCCCACGCTGGGGGGATCTTCGTCTTGGCCCCCACCCACGACCCAGACGGCGGATCGGCGAAGGGAGGATGAGCCCGCCTGGGAAAGGCAGAACGCGAGGCTGGCGATAAAGAACCGATGAAGAATGGGAAACCGCGCCCACATCACAACTGTAATCCTACCCATCCCGCCTTTGTTTTCCAACGGGTGACGGTTTTCCCATAGGCAGTCGTCAAAAACGAGCGCGCCATGAGCCTGTGATGATGATGGATAGATCCTACACGAACGGGATCTATCAACGCGTGTTCTTAGCGATCAGGATCTATCGATAAGATCCTAGGACCCTCTGGGTCCGCCTCCGCCTCCGCCTCCGCCTCCGCCTCCGCCTCCGCCTCCGCCTCCGCCTCCGCCTCCGCCTCCGCCTCCGCCTCCGCCTCCGCCTCCGCCTCCGCCTCCGCCTCCGCCTCCGCCTCCGCCTCCGCCTCCGCCTCCGCCTCCGCCTCCGCCTCCGCCTCCGCCTCCGCCTCCGCCGCCTCCTCCTCCTCCTCCTCCTCCTCCTCCGCCTCCTCCTCCTCCTCCTCCTCCTCCTCCTCCTCCTCTTCCTCCTCCTCCTCCTCCTTCTCCTCCCTCCTCCAGGCCCTAGAGGACACGGGGGAGTCGCCTCGACATTCGAGTCAGAGCGCACACCGGGAGAGGTCCAGGGAGGAGCACCATCGGCATGGGCCTCCCCAGGAGGAAAAACAAAAACGTGCATGACAAATCTGGGCGTGGCAAGTGGTTCACATCCGGCAACTTCGCCCAGCTTTGGACCTCGAAACTATCACAGGCCGATCCGGCTCGAAGAGTACTGCAGAAAGATGTCTCGACGCCACGTAACCACGTCTCGCAACGTTGGATCCCAGGGCGCCCAGTCAACCTCGCACCGTGAACAAAATCGCGACGGAAGGTTTCTGGCCACTTCCGGCCTCCAGGGGCCCTCGCCAAGCCCAGTGGCCGTTAAGAAACGGCTCGGAATGAAAGGGTTCCGCACCTCTGGGAGCCACGCTGTGAAAAGAACATCACGACGACGAATGCCCGGGATGGACTTTCGGAGGCCCGCGCGGATTTCTTGGATCGTCGCTGCTGCGTAGGGGCCGACCGTCCCGGCATCCCATAGGCCTACCATGACATGCCCTTGGAACCAACACATCTTCTAAGAACGAAAACAACGTTCTCGGAGCATGAAGCCGATGCTGCTTTAGCATGGAAAAGACATGCGGGCAGTATCTATATCGGTATCCAGTGCGTCTTGGACTTTCTTGGAAGGGGCGCCGCAAGGCCGAGGCGCACTGGATATGGATAAAAGTTGGGCCTCTTGGAGGCAGATTCTGATCCATACCCAGTGCGCCTCATGCTTCTTGGGGAGAGAGTCCGAAACTCCAAGACGCACCGGATGTGGATAAAGACATTGCCCGCAAGACAACAGTCTGAGCCAGGAATGCTCCAAGAACCCTTCGTGCAGACCCCAAACAGAAGCTCTCCGAACACTTCTCCGGTGGGCCCACAGGCCAGCCAGCACGCCTCGCCACGGCTTGCCGCGGAGCCCCCCGGCTGGCCGCGACCCCGGCCGCTGGCCACCCCTGGAGCGCCTCGCGCGCCAGGATTGGGCGTGGCTTGATGGGGGGGTCACAAATGGGGGGGTCAGAAAAGGTCCCCTTTCGTGCCCCTTTTTGGGCGCCCGACTTATCCGGGGTAACTCGGGTTCGGAATCCCGAAAAGCGAACCCGAGTTAGCCCTGACCCGAGTTACCCCTGATGATGTGGGGCTCTGGACGCCCGAGTTATCCGGGGTAACTCGGGTCCGGGGTAACTCGGGTTTGGATTCCCGAAAAACGGACCCGAGTTATCCCTGACCCGAGTTACCCCTGATGATTCGGGGCTCTGACCTTTCGGGCCCCTCCAGAGCCCCAGGGGGCTCGTTTAGGTACCGTTTGGGTACCTTATCGGACCACGCTCGCCGCCCCCCCATTGATGACCCCCCCCCCCTCACGCGGCGCCCAGCCGGAGGGGGGCTCACCGCCGGCCCCCGGAGATCCGCGCGGACCGCTGGGAGTGCACGCTCGTGTGGGGCCGAGCCAGGACCAAGGGAACAAAAAAAAAAACGGGCGAGGATAGTTCGAGAGTCTCTGAGATCTGGCGGTTCTGGAGGACGTCTCGGGCCCCCGCGGCCTTCTCGAAGCGTTCCGGCACGCTCTGAGAGCGTCCCGGGACGTGCTGGAACGGATGCATCCTCGTCCCACCAACGCCCGACTATGCCGTTTTGGGGCATACCGCTACCGCTACTGCGTGGACATCTCCTGGAGTTCGACGCGGATCCAGCCGTAATGAAGAGGGAAGGGTGGCGGTATGAGCCCGTGTTTCGTATCATTCCTGATAACGCCCGTGACCGGCCCCACGCTCCCCCCTCTTGGCCACATCACGTTTCGTGCTGGGAGGAGGAGGAGGAGGAGGAGGAGGAGGAGGAGGAGGAGGAGGAGGAGGGAGGGGGAGGGGGAGGGGGAGGGGGAGGGGGAGAAGGAAGAGGAGGAGGAGGAGGAGGACCAGGACGAAGAGGAGGAGGAGGAGGAGGAGGACCAGGACGAGGACGAGGAGGAGGAGGAGGAGGATAATCAGCACAAAAAGAACCAAGAAAATGAAAAGGAAAAGGGAACGGGAAAGGAAAAGGAAGAGGAAGAGGAGGAGGAGGAGGAGGAGCGCCAGTACCTCATGCGTCCATCGGTCCCACTGCACTCAACGCTGGAGAAGGAGGAGGAGGAGGAGGAGGAGGAGAAGGAGGAAGAGGAGGAGGAGGAGGAGGAGGAGGAGAAGGAGGAGGAGGAAGAGGGAGAGGAGGAGGAGGAGGAGGAGAAGGAGGAGGAGGAGGAGGAGGAGGAGGAGGGGGAGGAAGAGGAGGAGGAGGAGGAGAAGGAGAGGGGGGGGAGGAGGGGGAGGGGGAGTAGGGGGAGAAGTAATCGACAGGGAATGACCCCTGACCCCCGTTTTCATGACTTTTTCATGGCGCCGACCCCCAGAGGTCTCTACAAGCCCTTCCCCTGGCCTGGCTTTCCGTCCTGAGCTTTTGTCTGACGCCCCCGAGGCTGGGCAGGGGCCCCCCCCAGGCCGAAAATTGCAGAAAAAGGCGCCGCCCTGATGTTTTGTTCTGATTCGAAGGAGTCGGGAAAAAATGCAAAAATGCTCGTCATCGGCATCTGCTCCCCTCGTGAGCTGCTTGCTCCTCGCCTCCGGCGCTGGAGCCGCGCGAGCTGCAGCCGAGGCCCGAGTCCGCCAGCAGGCACGCAGACACCTGGAGGGGAACTGGGACACACAAATAAATACACAGAACTGGGACACACAAATCCGCCGGCCCCCTTGTGGGGCCACCAGGCTGCGAGGCACGGGTTCGCAGTTTCCAGTACCAGTTGTAGCTTGTAGTTTCCAGTGTTACAGTTCTGCTTCTTGCTGGTTACTGTAACTAGTTGATTGACCGCGCGAGGGGGGGGGAGGCCCAAACGGGATTTTTAGCACCCCCTGGGCGCGTTGTCTGAATTGCTGGGGGGGCTCGAAATCGACACCCCTCACGCAGATCCGCGGGGTCAGGGTCCAAAAACACAGGGGATTTGCCACATTTCTGAAATTCGGTGCCACCCCTCACGCAGATCCGCGGGGTCAGGGTCCAAAAACACAAGGGATTTGCCACATTTCTGAAATTCGGTGCCACCCCTCACGCAGATCCGCGGGGTCAGGGTCCAAAAACACAAGGGATTTGCCACATTTCTGAAATTCGGTGCCACCCCTCACGCAGATCCGCGGGGTCAGGGTCCAAAAACACAAGGGATTTGCCACATTTCTGAAATTCGGTGCCACCCCTCACGCAGATCCGCGGGGTCAGGGTCCAAAAACACAAGGGATTTGCCACATTTCTGAAATTCGGTGCCACCCCTCACGCATATCCGCGGGGTCAGGGTGCAAAAACATACGGGATTTGCTGGCCCTTTAATCCCAAGGTGTGGTAACCAAGCTCGTAAACCATACACGTCTTACCAATCGCCCTGTGTGGTAACCCCTCTTGTGATCAGTTGGTTTTGCCGATTGCGAATCGGCCTCGCATGAAGTTCCGATACTGCTGCACGACAGCGCCAAAGCCTCATGACTTAGCTCTTCCATGGCCCATTCTCCGAGAGAGGGGGCCGGCGGCAGGGGGCGAAGCCCTTACGGATAAATACACACAAATAACCAGATTCCCCATATGTTCCAATACTTTCTGGGTTTGTGTCTTCCCCCCCCACTTCCCATATCTTGCTCTATTTTCCTGGGAACCGACTATCAATTGTGTCTGTGTGTGTTTTGCCCCTCCTGAGCACCAGCAAGTCCGCGTGGGAGCGCGAGACGTGGCTCGTCCGGACGGAGCTGGGCGCCGGCGTGGCGAAGGCGTCGGTCGACAGGGTCAAGATCAGGTGGTCTGCCTGAGAAGAGCAAGAAAAAGCTACATAAACTTCGTGGCTCCAGGGTCCGCGCGGACTTCTCGGATCGGCGACGGACCTCCCTGGCGCGCGGAGCGCGCCAGGGGAGGCGCCAGAAGCGCCGCCAGGGGGGCTCAGCGAAGATCCAAGAAATCCGCGCGGACCTCAGAGAAATTATTCGGGGGCGGCCAAGAGGGGGGCGTCCAAGAGGGGGGGGCGCAAATCACGACCGACGGCATGTGCGCGGCCCAGATGGGGGGCGGGGACGCCCTGAAATAAGACGAGGCGCCATGAAATCTGGGGAGATATCTGGATATTGTGGCCCCCGCCATGATATCCACACCCCCTAGTCATCACCCCCTCTTTGCCGTCCCCAAATATGTTTGTGCAGTTTTGCGTTATTCGACTGCCTCGCCCTCTTCCTGCGGGGCCCCCTCGGGCACGAGGGGCGCCGCAGCCGGCCGCGCGAGGTGGGCGGGCGAGCACGACTGGACTGAGCTGGCCGCGGGCAGCTCGGATCCGGCCAGGCTCTTGCTCACCCTTGCTGTCAGGGCGGCGTTGGACACCGAAGACGGCATGGACGGCATGGTCTCTCTGCTTCCAGACGCGATCGCTTCGGTCGCTAGGGGCTCCACCAACGGCCGATCCCTCAGCGTGGCGGCCACCTCTGGTGAGGACGACTGGATGGAGCTGGCCGCGGGCACCTCGGATCCACCCCAGCCCTGGCCAACCAGCCGTTCCGCTGGGATGGCGGCAAACTCGAGCGATCCCGACTGGACGGAGCTCGCCGCGGGCAGCTCGGATCCGGCCAGGCTCTTGCTCACCCTTGCTGTCAGGGCGGCGTTGGACACCGAAGACGGCATGGACGGCATGGTCTCTCTGCTTCCAGACGCGATCGCTTCGGTCGCTAGGGGCTCCACCAACGGCCGATCCCTCAGCGTGGCGGCCACCTCTGGTGAGGACGACTGGATGGAGCTGGCCGCGGGCACCTCGGATCCACCCCAGCCCTGGCCAACCAGCCGTTCCGCTGGGCGGCAAACTCGAGCGATCCCGACTGGACGGAGCTCGTCGCGGGCAGCTCGGATCCGGCCAGGCTCTTGCTCACCTTTGCTGTCAGGGCGGTTGGACACCGAAGACGGCATGGACGGCATGGTCTCTCTGCTTCCAGACGCGATCGCTTCGGTCGCTAGGGGCTCCACCAACGGCCGATCCCTCAGCGTGGCGGCCACCTCTGGTGAGCACGACTGGATGGAGCTGGCCGCGGGCACCTCGGATCCACCCCAGCCCTGGCCAACCAGCCGTTCCGCTGGGATGGCGGCAAACTCGAGCGATCCCGACTGGACGGAGCTCGTCGCGGGCAGCTCGGATCCGGCCAGGCTCTTGCTCACCTTTGCTGTCAGGGCGGCGTTGGACACCGAAGACGGCATGGACGGCATGGTCTCTCTGCTTCCAGACGCGATCGCTTCGGTCGCTAGGGGCTCCACCAACGGCCGATCCCTCAGCGTGGCGGCCACCTCTGGTGAGCACGACTGGATGGAGCTGGCCGCGGGCACCTCGGATCCACCCCAGCCCTGGCCAACCAGCCGTTCCGCTGGGATGGCGGCAAACTCGAGCGATCCCGACTGGACGGAGCTCGTCGCGGGCAGCTCGGATCCGGCCAGGCTCTTGCTCACCTTTGCTGTCAGGGCGGCGTTGGACACCGAAGACGGCATGGACGGCATGGTCTCTCTGCTTCCAGACGCGATCGCTTCGGTCGCTAGGGGCTCCACCAACGGCCGATCCCTCAGCGTGGCGGCCACCTCTGGTGAGGACGACTGGATGGAGCTGGCCGCGGGCACCTCGGATCCACCCCAGCCCTGGCCAACCAGCCGTTCCGCTGGGATGGCGGCAAACTCGAGCGATCCCGACTGGACGGAGCTCGCCGCGGGCAGCTCGTAATCACTCACGCTCGTTCTGGCCAGCATTTCCGCCGGGATGGCGGCAACCCATGGCGAGCGCGACTGCGTGGAGCTCGCTGCGCACACATCAGGCCCGCCCAAGCTCTTGCTGACCCCTGCGCACTCGGTAACGTTGGCTGCCGAAGACTGCATTGTCAAGCGGTCCGCCTCGCTGCTTCTCGATGGGGCCGCTGCGGCCATCGAGGGCGGCGCAGCCGGCTGCTCCGCCAGGGTGGCGGCGCCCTCTGGCGAGGACGACTGGATGGAGCTCGTCGGGGGGGGCACCTCGGATTCACCCAGGCCCCTGCTAATTTCTGGCAACACAGCAATCGGTGAGGGCGACATTGAAAAACTGCATCTCGATGAGGCCGATCCGTCGACGATGGACGCCGCCGCCAGCTGCTCTGGCTGCGCGGTGCGGCTTTCCGGCAGAGAGGACGGCGCGTGCGGGTGGACAGAGCTGGCTGCGGGTATCTGATTCTCGGCTGGGCTAGTGCTGCCCACTCCCTGCAGAACGGCATCGGCTCTTGCCGACTGGTCTGCGTCGCTGCTGCTAAACGGAACGGACTCGGTCACGGAGGGTCTCGGCAGCGTACGCTTCCCTGCGTGGACTGCATGGTCTTCCGGGACGACGGAAGAGGCGCACGACTGGACAGAACTGGCCGCAAGCACCTCGGATCGAGCCTCAGCAGCAAAATACACTGTCATCCGCCGACCCCGGAGGCCTGCCACCGGCCCCGAAAGTGATTGAGCGTGCCACGCGTTCGGTGGCTTTCCGCGTTGGTTTTCTCTCTACCAGTCCCTCGACCCTTGCCATTATTTGCACAAGTCGTCAGCTGTTTGGCTTGCGACGGCCTCCGAGAGACACTCAATTGGCCTCGGGCACTCCAAGACAGCTCAAAAAACCGCACGATGGCGCAGGTTGCACCACATGCCTTCAAGATGTTTTCAAGATGGCCCAAGTCAGCATCCGAGACGAGGAGGCATGCAAGATGTCCCCGAGACGGCCGAGGAGGTGTCCAAAATGGTCCCGAATCGACGGCAACAATCAAACATATGCCAGCGCACGGACCCCAAACAGTTGAGCCATTGAAACGCAAACCTGCCCTATTTCAAACAGAAACACACAGTGCACGTTGCCGCAAAGTTTGGATCAAGAACGGGCACCACGCGATAACTGTTCGTTGTTTCTCCGAAATCTTAAATCGTGCTTGTTGTTATGAGCATGATGTCTCCAAATCCTTCATTCCTCTCTTGCGCCTCATTCCTCCACATACTCAGACTTTTAGCGCGAACACAGGAAGGAATCCCTCGCTCACTCACCCGCCTCCCTCGCACACTCATAAGTTCAGCTGTGTCATACTCAGGTCCACTCATGTTCAGCTTAAGCGTACTCAGACTTACCCACATTCAGTCACTCATATTCCTGACCACTCACACCAACTCACTCATACGTAGACTCGCTCGTGCTCGGACTCGCTCGTAGAAAGACTCACGAATACTCAGACTCACTCCCACTCAGACTCACTCATGCGAAGACTCACTCGCACTCAGACTTATCTTCACTCAGACTCACTCACACCCAGGCTCACTCACAATCAGACTCAATCGTGCCCAGCCTCTCAGATAGATCACGCATACTAAGACCCTCTCATACTCTAGGGGAACAGAAAGTGGCATAAACACAAAAACTCGGAGGTCCGCGCGGATTTCTCCCTCCCCTCCCTCCCTGGCGCGCGGAGCGCGCCAGGGGCGGCGCCGGAGGCGCCGCCGGGGGCCCCAGCGCCGATCCGAGAAATCCGCGCGGACCTCCGAGTTTTTATGTTTATGCCACTTGTTGTTCCCCTGTGCTCGGATGTCTTAAGGCCACCGCGATATAGCAGGCGTGGCACTTGCGTAACCCAAGGCAGTGCCACTGGGGGGCTGGAAACGTGCCCGTTTGCGGCCAGAGCGTGAGGACCTCTCTCGAGCGAGGCGCTCGCTCGGAGTCCCCGACGCCTCTCCTTTCAAGGCCCCGTGATCTCCGGAATCTCCGCGATGTATCGGGAGCGGCCAAGAGGGGGGGTGCAAATCATGGCCGGCGGCGTGTGCGCGGCCAAGGGGGGGGCCAGGGACGTAATGAAATAAGAAGGGGCGCCATGAAATCTGGGGAAATATCATGGCCCACGCCATGATATCCACCCCCCCTAGTCATCACCCCCCTCTTTGCCGCCCCCGAATGTAGCAGCAGGCGTGGCAGTTGGACGGAGCCGCCGGGAACTCTTACAACTGCCCGCGGCTGACAGATTGCTGGGGAAGCTCGAGCGAAGCGTTCGTTTTGCACCTCATGCGCCTCACCCTTCGAAGCCCGACAATCACCGCAACGTGGCAGGCATAAGACTTGGGCACCCGCCAAGGGGACGGGAGCCGCCAAGGGGTGTCAAAACGTGCCTGCTGCGGTGCGATCGCGGGGATGCCTCGAGCGAAACGCTGGCACCCCCGACTCCTCTCCTCGACGAAAAACACGCTCGAACCTACGAGGAGCCCAGCGTAGGGGGGGGGCGACGTCGTCACCGACAGCGGCCAGAGGCCCCGATGCCTCTTGCCCCTCTCGACGTCGTGCACGCTGGCAAGATCGAACCTACGAGGAGGAGGATTGGGAGGGGCAAGGAGCTGAAGGGGCTCGGGTGCGGGACGCCGGACACCCCGAGGGGGGGCTCCCCGTCGAGCGGGGGCCCGCCTCCGACAGCAGACACCTAGGAGCCCCACGGAACTCCACCCCGAGAAAGGCAGGGGCCACCTGGGCTTACCCAGAGAGGTCTTTGGCCCCCCCCCCCCACTTGGGAGAGCTAATCACTTGCTCGGCGGCCTCATTGAAGGACTGGGTCCTACCAATAGGGGATAGCTGCGTCTTCTCTTCCGCGGCACCCGCCCCGCAACAACGACGACGACGACGACAGCTACGGCTACGACCGAGGCTACGACTACGACGGCTACTACTACCGATGCCGCAGGAGCAGGAGGAAGAGGAGGTGCCAGCTTTCGGACGAGTCCGATTCACCGCCCAAAGAAAAGTGGGGGGGAGACCAAAACAAGAGACTTTTGTTGAGCTCCGCGCCCAGCGCCCCCTGAGAGTGCCGCCTTCCAAGACGCAAGACCTCCCTCGGTGATGGCTGTAAGTAGGGGAACAGAAAGTGACATAAACATAAAAACTCGGAGGTCCGCGCGGATTTCCCGGATCGGCGCTGGACCCCCCTCCCTGGCGCGCGGAGCGCGCCAGGGGCGGCGCTGGAGGCGCCGCCGAAAGGCCCCAGCGTCGATCCGAGAAATCCGCGCGGACCTCCGAGTTTTTATGTTTATGTCACTTTTTGTTCCCTCGGTGATGGCTGTAGGTGTCAGCTGGTGACTCCTGCCGGAGTCCCAAAATCCACCCCTCCGCAGCGGAACGAAACGCATCCGACCACTCCAGGGGGGAAGATGCCGGGGAGAGCTCGGCCGCCGCAGGCTACGACCCGCTCTCAGACAGTGACAGGAGGAGGAGGAAGACGAGGAGGAGGAGGAGGAGGAGGAGGAGGAGGAGGAGGAGGAGGAGGAGGGAGGAGGAGGAGGAGGAGGAGGAGGAGGAGGAGGAGGAGGAGGAGGAGGAGGAGGAGGAGGACCCCAAGAAATGAGATGCACAGAAAGATCACATTTGCCCACTGTACAGAAGCCCACGTTTCTGAAGCAACGGTCCCTGACAAAACCAACTCTGGGAAGAACGGGAAGTGCTCCTGGCTTGAAGAGAAAGGCGGCTCTGTGGCGCTGCCACGATTCCTCTTCAAACACGCCGCTATAGCCACCCCTTCCTTCTTGGGAAGTTGCCACTGTCCTCTTCTTTTGCTGAGGGGGAGGAAGGGCTCGGTACTCGACAGCTCGGCACTGTGGAACTACAAAGCGAGACAAAGGGTGGCGAGGAAACCCAGAACTCCGTACAAGCCGACCTGCATTAGTCAAGCTCATGCAATCGAACTTGGCCTGAAACTAGACACGCGGGGCACACACACAAAATGGCCTACGAACTACCCGTGACAGTTATTGCAGCCCTTTCAACTGTCTGCCACCGCACCGCACCGGCCAGCGATCCATCCAGTCGACCAGTCTGCCAACCAGCCACCAGGCTAGCCAACCAGCCGGCAAGGCAGCCAGCCAGCCAGCCGCCTCGCCAACCAATCAGCCAGGTCGGGCCAGCGACAGGGGCCGAAGCCCACTGGATTTCACACACATACCTTTTCGTCGGCGGCGGGGCAGCGTCGGCTGCACCGGCGCGGAAGCCAGACAGGGGGCACCGACCAGCGAAGTGTGCCAGCATGCGAGGAGGGGGAGGAGGCAGGGCGGGCGGCCTCGCGCGAGGGGGGTGGGGAAGGCGGGGCCACGCAGAGGTGGACATCGCGCACACGCACAGCTCGAGGTCAGTCCCCAGAGCCCCTCCCAGGATCCGAGCGCACCTGTCGTCCGAGCTGCGTCCCCGGCCGCGGCGACGGGGGAGGGCCCCCCGCAGGCCCAGAGGCGGGTGCCCTGCCTCGCCCCCCCCCCCCCCGCTCCCCGGCAGCACGCACTGCTGCACGTGATCGGTTTGGTGTCCTGTGCTTTGCCGATCGGCGCGGGCCCTCGCCCCCCTCCCCCCTCCCCCCTACCCCCCAGGAGTAGATCTCTGCTGTTTTTGGAGCCTGTTTCGCGCAGGTGGAGCCTCCCCCATGGGACGCACTGTGGCACACAGCCGCACGAAGCAAGGGCCCAGAGCCAGACACCCCCCCCTCTCCCTCCCCCCTCCCTCCGCCCAGTGTCGAAACGCCGGATGCGACAACGCTCACCGCGAGAAGGGAGGATCTCTGGGCTCGGCCACAGGCTCGCAGCGCAAGTCCTCAGAACAGGCATCCCCACTGTGAAAGCAACGCAGCCTACATCATTCCCCCAGTGAGGAAGGGGGAGCGGTGGGACAGGGGGGGAAGCTAGAAAAGGAGGGGCAGGGCGGAGAACGAACTGACGCAAGAGTGTATGGCATCTTCTATCCCACTTAGTTTGGGGGGCGGAAAGATACGGATACGTGTTGTCCCCGGACCTCTCTTGGGGTGCGTTCTGACCAGAATTTCGAGGCGAATCCAGCGGTGACAACGAGGATTCCCCAGGAGGACCAGGAAAGGCCGAAAACGAAGGGGGACAACACGTATCCGTATCTTTTTCTCCCCCGATTAGTGGGATAACTTGGAAGGGAGGATCCAGCCGTGCTTCGCCGAAGGCGCCCGCCATCGGGCAGTCTGCCGGGCTGCGCCCCGGCTGCGAGGCCGCCGCGGCGGCGGCGGCGCGGCGCTCCGGCGCCGCGGCGTCGGCCAGCGGCCACACCTGCGGGCCCCGAGGGTGTACACCACCACCACCTCCATCCGCCCTCCCTCCTCCACGCTCCCTTCCCCCCCCCCCTGGGGCCTACCTCCTCCTCCTCCTCCTCCTCCTCCTCCTCCTCCTCCTCCTCCTCCTCCTCCTCCCCGAGTCGACTTCCGACCGCGTCGAGGCCCGGCAAGGACCCCGGAAAGCCGAAGACAATGAACAACAGCCATCCCGAGTCGAGACGCTGGGTACTCCAGATTTCGTAATAAAGGGAGGGGGGTCTCATTTCGGGGGGGGTCTCTTCCAGGCTATCTTGGAGGGCCTGGGGGGGGGGTCTGGGGACGATGTTTTGGAGGGTTCTCCCACGGGGGAGGTCTGAAATGGCTTGTCTTGGAGGGTCCAGAGCCCCTCCCTTTTATTACGAAATCTGGAGTATACACCACCACCACCTCCATCCGCCCTCCCTCCTCCATGTTCCCTTCCTCCTGGAATAACCAGCCTCGAACTGATCCTTATCCCTAAGATGGGCGAGCAAAAAGCGAGGACAATCTCAGGGGTAGGTCCTCAGAAACTGAGGGGATCCTTAAGATCGGCATCGAGGTGAGGTGATGTCAAACATAGGGATAAGGATATGTTTCAAACTGGTGATGGAAGAGGGAGTGGGCCGAGAGAGGTGGTGGTGGCGTATGGTTCTGGGCCCCGTAGCACCAGCATCAGAGGCCCTCCTCTGGGGGAGGGGCCCTCGTCGATGGCGAAAGACACGGACGACGGGAGCAGGCTGGAGGTGCGCCCGTCGGGCAGGACCGCGCTCTGGATGTCGAGGGCGTCGCAGCTGCGCCGTCGGACCTTAGCTGCTGCTGCGTAGACGACGACGACGACGACGACGACGACGACGACGACGGCGACGGCGACGGCACTCTTTCTGAGCTTGGCTCCAAGCGCGAAGCAGCGGAGCGGCCCCCGAGCGCCGCGGAGCCCATCGTGCGCCGCTCCGTCCCCAGATCTTGGGGGGCTCTGCGTGAGGAGCTGCGCCTCCTTCTGCGGAGGGGGCGGGCGGACCTGCAGGGCATGCACTCGGGGGCGTCCCAGAGGGGGGCGTCCAAGAGGGGGGCGTCGCAGATCATGGCCCGAGGCATGCGCGCGGGCCCAAGGGGGACCAGGAGGCGGAGGAGGAGGAGGAGGAGGAGGAGGAGGAGGAGGAGGAGGAGGAGGCGGAGGAGGAGGAGGCGGAGGAGGAGGCGGAGGAGGAGGAGGAGGAGGGAGGAGGAGGCGAAGGAGGAGGAGGAGGCCCAAATGGTCCGGGTCATGATATCCACTCCCCCCTCGTGGACGCTCCCGATGCACCCAGCTCCACGGCCCTCGGGGGGGGCACCGGGCCTCTGGCGGCATCCATGTGGGGCCGCCCTCCTCGTTCCGTCGGCTCCCCGCTCCCAACTCTGCTTCGCTTCGCACTGCCTTGCGCTGCCTTGAACTGAACTGTTCTGTTGCGCATGTCAGCGCATTGCTTTGCAGAACACTGTACGCATTGCACTGCACTGCACTGCACTGCATTGCATTGCATCCGCTTTCAGGTGCATTATGTTGCCACGCCTGGCATGGCTTTGCTTAGCAATGGTTTGCGTTGCTTTGCGACACGGTGGATGTCATTGCATTCCTTCGAGCTTTATTGTGCGACTCGCATGTTACATGGCTTTGCTGCGCTGCTTTTATTCGCACTACACAGGCATTGTTTACCATTGTGTTGCATTACTGCAAGTAAAATAACACTGGATTGCGCTGTATTGCAATAGCACTGCGTTATGCTGCACTCGCTTTGCAGCACATTCAACATTGTTGCATGTCGTTGCTTTGCGCGTAGATGCATGCCAGCGCATAATTTGCGTAGTATTTGACTGGCGTTACATGCTGTCGATTCCGATTTGCTACGTCACGCTGACTTGCAGTGAGTGGCATTGCATTGCAATTGCTTAACGTAGAGTTGAGTTGCTTTGCGTTGTAATTCCAATTTCATGTAGCGCAGGGCAACACAGTTTCAACTCATTGGATGTGAGCTTCATTTAGGCTTCAGCTTGTCGTGAGTAGACTTCGTCAACTTTCCTTCAGCTTACCTCAAGCAGAAAGACCGGCCCTCAATTTGACCCCGACGGGGTGTCTGTCCTCTCAGTCCGTAGAACGTTCGGCCTCACGGGAAAACCATGCGAAGAATTATACATGGGGTGAGGGCGTCGACGTCCATGCCCTCCCCCAGCACCCCGTCCCCACCAAACCCACCCCAACACAGTGGTGGAAAATACGCGCGGCAGCGCAACTGGATCCAGGTGACCCGACGCGACCGATATTTCTGGTGCCCATCGTAGCGACAGAACATCGCCAAATGCGGAGATATCGACAGCGACGGACAGCACACACATGACCTGCTGGAGCTCCGAAACGTTATTGTTGTACAACTGTTCTTCTTCTGCCTAAATGAGACGGGTGCCGCTTAGAGGTCCCGAGTGCGAGACGTCCTCGTAGGTCAGCTCCTCGGTGCCACGTTCTGGGTGCACCTCAGGCCTGATGCCACCAGGGCGCCCGGGCTCTGGGGTCTGTGGACGACCTCTGCAGGGAACACGCAGGATCATCTTCTGCTAGTCATCATCCTTCGTCTTCACATCACCACCACCATCGCCATCATCATCATCACCACCATCATCATCACCATCGCCATCATAATAAACAACATCAACAACAACATCATGATCATGATCATGATCATGATCAGCATAAGCATCATCTCCATCATCACCATCCACATCATCAGCAGCATCAGCAGCATCATGATCAGCATAATCATCAGAAGCATCATCATCATCATCATCATCATCATCATCATCATCATCATCATCATCATCGATACCACCATCATCATACTCATGTCAATTAGCATCATCATCAGCATACTCATCCTCGTCATCATCGTCACCTGCATCATCATCAGCAGCATCATCATCAGCATCACCACCACCATGTTCATCATCATCATCAGCAGCAGCAACATCATCATCGTCACCATCATCATTACCATCACCCTCATCATCCTTATCACCCGCTTCATCATCATCAGCAGCAGCATCATCATCAGCATCCTCAGTATCAGCATCATCATCACCATCAGCATCATCATCAGCAGCATCATCGCCATCGTCAACATCAGCAACATCAGCACCAGTGTCATCATCGTCATCATCCTAACTAATCGTCATCATCGCCATCATCGACAACATCGTTATCAACATCATCAGCACCACCACCAGCATCGTCGTCATCAACGGCATCGCAACCACTACTGTAGCCTTCATCATCATCGGCATCGTCCGCAACTTCGTCGTCATCACTACAATCAGCAAACTCACCCGCATCACCATCATGAGCATCATCAGCATCACAATCAGCATCAGCATCATCATCGTCATCGTCATCAGCATCACCATTCTCATGATCAGCAGCATCATCATCGCCACCATCAGCATCAACATAATCATCGTCGTCATCATCACCATCATCACGTCCACCATCAGCATCAGCAGCATCATCACAACCTCCACGCTCATCATCATTATCATCATCATCATCAACATCATCATCATCACCAGCAGCATCATCATCATCATCATTATCCTCAGCATCGTCAATACCATCGGCATCTTCATTGTTATCATCATCCTCAGCATCACCAACACCACCATCATCATCCTCATCAGTATCACCATTATCATGTTCAGCACCATCCTCATCATCGTCACCGTCATCATCATAAGCAGCCTCATAATCCTCATCACTATCATCATCAATACCAGCATTACCATCATTATCATCATCAGCATCATATTCATCATCATCATCATCATCATCATCATCATTATCATCATCATCATCATCATCATCATCTTCATCACCATCACCATCACCATCACCATCATCATCATCATCATCATCATCATCATCATCATCATCATCATCATCATCATCATCCCACCACGACCCGAATCCTTCGGCTGTCCTTCGCCCTCGAACTGCCTCTGATGCTGATCCTTGCTCCTGTCCGCCCTCGCTCCTGCTGCTGCTCCTTGCTCCTGCTCCTGCCCTTGCTCCTGCTCCAGCGTCTCCCCCACGCTCGCGCTCCTCCTCCCATCCTCCTCCGCCTCCTCCTCCTCCTCCTCATCCCACCCCATTGCTCCTCTCCCTGAGCCTTGTCCCTCGCATCCTGCCCACTCTTGCTCCGCCCACTTTTACTCCTCGTCAACATATCCTTCTTCCCCACCCCCCTCCTCCTGCCACATGCTCCTTCTTTTTCCCCCTGCTCGGTCCTGCAACGCACCCTCCTGTTCATTCTCGGCCCTCCTCGTCCAAACGACGTCTGAGCGTAGAGAAAAGAAACAGGTCTTACGCAAGATGGCATGATTAGCGACCTTACGCGGCAGCTCACGGCTCACGCGGACTGCCAGCGCGGAACGCTGAGTTGGAAAAGAGGGCGCTTACGCGCGATCTTAGGCAGACAGCTTACGCCCGTTGCCCCGTGTTCTACGTTGCTCATGTCAGCTGAATGCTGCATGCGCAGTGGAAGCAGGCCTCGCGGACCGCAACCATCCTCTGCAGCCTCGCTGCCCTTGCTCTCAGCGCCCTGTGCGTCACAGCAGGCGCCCCTCGTGCCCAAGGCGTGCCCGTCGCACGCGGCCCTCTCCTCCCAGCACTCGCCATGTGTGTCCTCTGCCTGCTCTGCATCTCGTGACGCCTCCCCTCCGGCCAGCGGCTGCAGCTGCTGCTGCAGCTGCTCTTCTTGTGCACGCTCGTCCTCCTCCCGTACGAGAACGGCGCTCATGTACCGAACCATGTTTGGACTCCCTTCAGGCCCCGCTCCATCGCGGTACGGAGCGCAGTTTTTGTGCGGTTCCAGGGGCCCGAGAAAATGTGCACTGTACCAATCCTGGGTCGAAGATCGACGACGCCTCGGGAGTCTCCAACGTGGTACGGCACACTCAAGTTGTTCGTCCATCCCAAGGGGCTGCAAGAGAGAGCAGAGTGACCCCACCTGGAGGCGCTGGCCACCACTGCGACCGCTTTTGGCCGCCAGGGTGAAAGCTGACTACGTACCCGCCAAACCACACCAACCCAACCCGAAGTCGCCGCTGGGCCTGTAAATTTCCAGTGGGGGGACATTTCGAACCACCGGGAAAACACAACAGAACCCGTGCGCTCCAAAACCAAACATTTGTGGGAGGGGGAGGGGGTTCTGGGACCTTCGGTTTGGAGTTTGGAATGGGGTGGTCTGGTAAACAATGAAAAAGTAAACCGCCGATGTGGATCCTCAGGGCAACTTGGCCTCGGGACCGTGGCCCACCCCCACAGGTTGAAGCCAATTTGGGGCAGCAGGGCTTCCGCTCGCCGAGCTCTATAACAGGGGATCTGTCGACCCCTGTCCCAGGCTCTTGGAGGCCCTCGACTGGACCAGGAATCTGAGGCCCAATCCTGGGATATGCGATGGGGGGAGGCCTCCATCCTCGATACGGGGTGCGTTCGAACAGCCCCCTGGGGGTTTATCCCAAGGTTCCCTCCCTTCTCCAAACAGAACTCTATAAAAAAAACTCCATAAACAGAAACTTTTGGCGCTCCGCGCGGGTTTCTTGGCCCTCCCTGGCGCGCGGAGCGCGCCAGGAGCGGCGCCGGAGGCGCCGCCGGGGGGCCCCAGCGCGGATCCATGAAATCCGCGCGGAGCGCCAAACGTTTATGTTTTTTATTGGCTGTTTCTTCTCCCAAAGTCGGGGACGAAGGGGGGACACATCGCCTGCGACTCTGGCCTGCGGACGTCGGCGTGGGCCACACCCCTGGGCGCAAGAAGCTGCAGATCGGGTGGGTTCAAGTCGGGGCGCCCCTCGACAGGCGGGACATCCAAAATAGCCAACACATAATATGGGGACGATTTTGGGACTATCTTTGATTCTTTGGGAGGTACTCCAGATTTCGTAAAAAAAGGGAGGGGGTCTGGACCCTCCAAGACAAGCCATTTCAGACCTCCCCCGTGGGAGAACCATCCAAAACATCGTCCCCAGACCCCCCAGGCCCTCCAAGATAGCCTGGAAGAGACCCCCCCCCGAAATGAGACCCCCTCCCTTTATTACGAAATCTGGAGTATCTTTGATTATTTGGGAGGTAGTTCTGAAACATTTAGACTTTTCGTCCAACATCCGCCTGGAGGAAGACATGCCCGACCTACAGATCGGGGCGTCGGTGTGCCGCCGCTCTCGGCCCCCGCCGGGGTGCTCTGGCTGGGGGGGGGGGGCTCCCGCAAGGAAGCGAGTCCTTCGGGGAAGGATTGCAAACAAACCTAGGATTGCAAAAAAAAAAAACCTAGGATTGCAAAAAACCTAGGGTTTTGGAAAAAAAACTAGGTATTTTGCAATCCTTAGTTTTTGTTGCAGTCCTTCTTGCAGTCCTCAGATGCTGCGGGATCGAATCGATAAGTCGGGTCGGCGATCGAAAGAAATCGGGTCGGCGGAAATCGGCAGCCGAGCCGGGAGAAGTCGGATCGGCGGAAATCGGCAGGCTAGCACGCTACCAGTGAGAAATCGGAACCCAAACCGGAATCCCAAGTCGAATGGAATCGAAATCGGAAGCCATCGAAATTGGATCGAACCGAATCGGAGGAATCGAAACGATCCCCCGGGGAGGGCAAGAAGCGCAGGGCGGAACAACGTACACTTCTGGGGGCCTTTTTGGGGCCCCTTTCGAGCCAGTTTCCTGCAATCCTCTCGATCCCACCACGCTTACTGCCCCGCCGTGGCCGTGCGCCCGGGGGCCCTGCACCACAGGGGCCCGCTCCTGGAGAGCGAGGCCTCTCTCCTGGGCCTTCTTGGGACGAACCAGGACATGGCGCACGCTGCATCTGGCGACACAGCGCGATCCAGAGGACTCCTCCTCCTCCTCCTCCTCCTCCTCCTCCTCCCCCTCCTCCTGGTACTATGCGTCCTCCCTGGAGGCGTGAAGCCGACCCGAGCATCTAATAGAACCGTCTTGTAGAAGATAGTTTCCCGAACGGTATGGCCAGAAAGCGCCTCGTCGCACGATCTCCAGAGGCATCGACGGCGTGGCTGGGAATCTACGCTTCCTGCGTGTCCAAAGGTGGCCCCCAAAGGACAAGATTTAGCCATTATTCTGAGCCTCTTGACCCCTTCGGGAGCATCCGATGGGGCGGCCCCAAGAGGCCAACATAACTGCTGTGTCGGAGCTTATACCGCAAGATTTCTCAGCTCGCGCGTCGTCCCTGGGGGGGCCGGGGGGGGGGGGGACACACAGTACTGGGATGCTGCGGTGACGCCGACGCTTGGCCGGCGGTCACGTGGGGGGGGGGGGCTTCGCGAGAGACCCCTGGAGGCGGAGAAGATCGGAAGACACACGTTCCCTCAGGCAAGACGAAGCCAGGACGAGGATAACATCGGGCGACGATAAATCGAGAATCTCTGAGATCCAGCGGTTCTGGAGGATGCCGCGGGCGCCGCGGTCTTCTCAGAGTGTTCCGGAATGCTCTGAACGGGCGCATCCTCGTCCTGGCCCCGTCCGATCAGGGCGCCCTTTTCTTCATGATGTGGGTCCTCAGAGGGGGGAGCAAGAGCAGTATCGTTATGTCGGGCGTGTCCCCCATACAGGGGGATTTTCGACGAACAATAAAAAATACCCCAAGAATACCCCCAAAAAGGCAAAAAATACTGAAAAATAGTCCCCTGACTATTTTTGTACTATTTTTGGATTATTTTGGGGGTATTTTTTTGGTCCGTCGACAATCCCCCTGTAGGGGGACAGGCCCGACTTAACAGTATCGGTAACACGCTGCCGTGGATCGGGTCGGGCGAAAGGGGGGATAGCAAAGGGGAGGTTTGAGAATCAGCTCACGTAGCTGATTTTCCCGGCGCCTCCCGGCGCCGGAGGCGCTTATGTATCGAGGAATGGGCCCCTCGGTGAGGCCAAGCCCAGCTGCATGCAGCTAATTTCGCACCCCCCCCTTTCCCAATCCCCCCCCTTCGTCCGGCCCGAGCGGAGAGCCCGTCAGCGTCTTGTACTGCTGAAGAAGCACCCGGCTTCCAGGCATGAGCAACGGCGCAGCACGCTGGCGGGCTTTCCCGTGGCGGCGCGTGGAATCGACGCTTGCCGTCGCTCGGACGTCCATGTCCCGTGCCTTGCTCGGTTTCGTGAGTGTTTTTGTTTTTCTTTGCTCGATGGTCCAGGATGGTCCTCGGTGGTTCTCGCCGAGAATCGTGAGTGTTTTTGTTTTTCCTTGCTCGATGGTCCAGGATGGTCCTCGATGGTTCTCGCAGAGAATCGTGAGTGTTTTTGTTTTTCCTTGCTCGATGGTCCAGGATGGTCCTCGATGGTTCTCGCAGAGAATCGTGAGTTTTTTTGTTTTTCTTTGCTCGATGGTCCAGGATGGTCCTCGGTGGTTCCCGCCGAGGAAAAATCCACACGTCCGAGCGATGCCAAGGGCACCTCTGCCCCCTCTCCCGAGGTCCTGCTCGGCCTCGGGCCCTCGGCCGGCCTCGGCGCCGCCTCCAGAGGAGCAGAAACTGACAACTAGAACAAGGGGCACACAAATGAATACACACAAATGACAGGGTTCCCCATGCTTTCCTATATTTTCTGGGCTGTTGTCTTCCCCCCCACCTCCCAGATGTTCCCAGACTTCCTGGGGGAATCGGCGATTCATTGTGTCTGTATTTTTGCTTCCCCTCCTGACAAGCTCCCGGAGCCCCAGGCAGACTTCTCGGATCGGCGCTGGACCCCGACGCGGAGCGCGCCAGGGGCTCCGCCAGAAGCGCCGCCAGGGAGGCCCCGCGCTGATCCGAGACGACAGCGGATGACGTGTCGCTCCGCTCCGCGGGGCGGCAGGCCGGGAGGAGCTGGGGACGTGGACGCCTGGGGGCCGGGGGCGCGGCTGGCGTGCCGCGCCGAGCCGAAGCGTGGTAGGCCAGGACCCGCGGCGCGGCACGCGACGCCAGAACGCTTCACCGCCCCCCGAGATCCGGCGACGCCCAAAAAACGGCAGCGGGGTAAAAGAAATCAAGACCTGAGCCCCAGACGCCAGGGGGCTGCCAACGACTACCCCCCCTCCCGCCCCAAGGGGCCCCCAAGAGCCCCCCAAGAGGCCCCAGGGGAGCCCAATACGCCGCCGAGGAGCCCCAAGACGCTCCCAAGAAGCCCCCAAGAAGCCCCCAAGACGGCCCCAAGAGGCCCCAAACAGCGCTCCTGGGCAAGCGGAATGAGCGAAGCGATTAGATAAATCAAGACCTGAGCGCCCTAGACGCCATCCCTCGAGCCAGGTCGATGTCGCGAGGTCCCCGGGGCCCGAAGCCGGGCGGAAGCACGGCCGGTGTGAAGAAGAATGGCCCGCCAGGGCCTCAGAGTAGTTCTATGCCGCTTTCGATCGGAAGGAACACAAAAGTGCAGAAAGATTACAGTCGAAACCTTTTTGTAAGGACGTGCGGTACGGGCGCAAGGGCCTTGGACGCCGAAAATGGCACTTTCGGGCGGCGAATTGCCAGCGCCCGGAAACGCCGAGGCAAGGACGCAAGGTACCCTAAGGACATCCGCGCGTCCGTACTACAGTCGGGGCTTTGACCCAAGGAACCCTAAATAAGGAACGAGGCCCCTGTTTTCGTTATCTTGAACTTCGATTTCCGATCGAAAACCGAAGGTAAACCTAAGGCAAACGGTAAAACAACTAAGGAACACGGAGCCCCTTCCAAACGAAAAGGGTTTTTCTTCACCGCCCCAACTGTATCAATTTTGACTGTACTGCTGACGGTCCGTACGGATTTGTGGGATCCACGCTGGGCCCCCCTCCCTGGCGCGCGGAGCGCGCCAGGGGCGGCGCCAGAGGCACCGCCAGGGGGGGGGGGGGCAGCGCCGATCAAAGAAATCCGCGCGGACCGCCGAGAAATCATGTGCATGCAGTAGTCCCTTCTTCGACGTACAGTCAACCCGCATCACAAAGGACGCACGATTAGGATGCAAGGGCCTTGGAAGGCTCTTCCGAAGCTTTTCGAGCGGGGCGCGGCCAACGAAAGCGGCCAAGGACGGGCCGAGGAGGCAAGGATGCAAGGTTGGCCTTGGGGAAGGCCGCCCATCCCTAACCATTGCGGGTTGACTGTGTGCCATTTTAGCTTCGTCTCGCCTCGGATCGGGGAGACGTAAGACTCGGGTACGAGGGACTCGGGTTGGCCCGACGGGGCCATCATAAAAATGACGAGGCGCACTCTGAAACTTGACGCGAGCTCCCGCTGCAGACATCCCACGAAAACCGGACCGCCAAAAAATCCAGGACGCGCTCGCCAAAAAAACGCCGGCAAACCCGAGCTCCGGCTTACCCGAGTCTTACGTTCCCCCGATCGGAGGCTCCATAGCGTTCCGGAGCGCTCCAGAGCGTTCCGGAACGCTCTGGAGCGGCCGCGGCGCCCGCTACATCCTCCAAGCCCGCCGATTCTCAGAGACTTCGGGCTCTCCCGAGCCGATGTTGCCCCGATCTTCGCGTCGCTTTATTTAGCTTCGCCCCGCCTCGGAGGCCCCCGGCGCCGCCGCCAGGAGGAGGAGGAGGAGGAGGAGGAGGAGGAGGAGGAGTGAGGAGGAGGAGGAGGAGGAGGAGGGCGGTGGTTCGACACTCCTGGCCTGCGCCGCCGCCGGCCCCCTCGCCGGCCCGCGCGTGGGCGGAGGCCGGCCGCAGGCGCCCCCGCACGAGCAGCCCCGCGGCGCGGCGCGCCCGCGCGGCCGCGCCGCCCGCGGCCCCAGATGGGGCGCCGGCGGTGGCCGGCCGCGGCGGGCCAAAGGGCTGCACCCAGGGGGCGTCCTGGGAGGGCAATGCTCCCCGAGATGCTTCCTCTTCCTCCTCCTCCTCCTCCTCCTCCTCCTCCTCCTCCTCCTCCTCCTCCTGCTCTCTCCTCCTCGAGCGGCGGACACAGTCTGTCCCGCGCCCACACTCTCCCTGAACTCCACGGGGAGCGCGGCGACAAGGTACTTCTCCCGGTCGGCGAACGCGAGCAGCGGCCGGCGGCTGGTCCAGCTCCCGCCCGGCTAGGCCGCCGCAGCCGCCCGGAGCTCGGCCGCCCGCCCGGCGCCGGCGCTGTCCGCGCCCAGCGCCGTCCTGAGCTGGCGGGCGGTGGCCCGGTGGAGGACCGCGCTGCATGAGCTCCCGGCCCCACCGGGCCCTGCAGGGCGCCAGCGACTGCCGGGGCGGCCTCGTCGTCGCCCAAGAGGGCCGCCTCCCCGCGGGCCAGCTCGCGGAGGTGCCGGAGGGCTGCCAGCCCGCGCCGCCCTCCGGTCTCGAGCGCCAGGGGCACCATGCCCCACGGGGTCCGGCCCGGCGGGTAGCGGCGGCACTCCTCGGCCTCCGCCGCGGCGTTGACCGCGCCGTTGCGTCCTGCCGCCGCTGCCAGGCCGTCGGCGCCCCCTGGCACGCAATAGCGCACCGTCACGTCGAAGTACAAGCGGGGGCAGTCAGCCCGCTGTACCTCGATGTCGAGGATGGCCTCTTGCCGCTCCGCGCGCAGCCCGGCCCCGCAGGTGGCGCACGGGCCCGCCGGCCGGTCCGCCGTCGTCCCGCCCTGGTTGCAGCGCGGGCAGGTCCAGCGCCAGCGGTCCCAGGCCGGGACGTGGGTTCGGCGCTCAACGTGGAACCCGCACTCCGCGTGGATACGGGCCCAAGCGCGCCCCAGGCCCCTGCTCCGCGCCTTGAGCCCGCCTCCGCGAGCGCAGCCCCAGGCGTGGTGCGCTCGGCTGTCCAGCGGCTCCCCGCACAGCTGGCCAGCCCGCTCGCCAGTCCGGGCGGCGTTGCAGCAGGTGGCGCCGGGCGGGGCTGCGGCCTGGCCAAGGAGCGTCCGCGCGGTGCTGTAGTAGTCCGCGTCGTCGAGCCGCTGCGCGCCCGCGCCCGGCTCGAGTGCGGCCCGCCGCAGGAGCGTAGGAGAGCTCTCCCCTCTGGCCCCTAGGCCTGCAGCAAGGAGTTGTGGTTTTTGTTGTCAATCCTTGCTGTCAGGGCCTTTTGGAGCTTTCGGCGAGGCGCCTGCGCTAGTTCCTGCCAGGTGGGCAGGTCGGCCGCTTCCGCGCCAGGGCGAGGTGGCGGCGGAGGCAGTCGGGCAAGTCCGGCGAGAGCGTCGCGGCGAGCTCCAGCCAGGGGCAGGGCGTAGGTGTCTAAGTCGCCCAGGCAAGCCAGCCCAGCGCGCCCCCTTACCCCGTGCAAGTTCTGCGCCCAGGAGCCGGCCCAGGCCGCTGGCGCCAGCTGCCGCTGGCTGCGGAGGCCGCGTCCGCCTAGCCGCAGCGGCAGCTGGCAGTGCGCCCGCTGCGTTTCCGTCAGCGGGTCGAGGCGGGCGTGCGCCGCGTAAGCCGCGAGCAGGGCGTCGTCGTAGGCCCTGGCGGCCGCCTCGGAGGCTGCTGGGGTGTTCGTGCGCAGCAGGTGCGCGAGCTTGCTGCCGCCGCAGTGTCGGAGCCGTAGCCCCGTCGTCTGCGCGGCCGGCAGGTGCGGCGAGGCCGTTGCTGGGAGGGCCGCGAGCTTGGCCAGTAGCTCCGCCGCTCGCCCTGCCGTCTCCGCGCAGCGCGCCGCCGCGTAGCCGGCCGCGCCGAGGTCGACCCGGCGCGCGTCGCTCTCGTCCGGCAGCCCTCCAAGAGGCAGCGGCCCGCCCAGGGGCACCCCCACGAGGGTCAGGCCTTCCGCGCGCCACTGCTCCTCCAGCCCGGGAGGGCAGGCGGCCCCGGGAGACCAGGCCTGCGTCTTTCGCTGCTCCAGCTCCAAGCCCAAGCCGCCGAGCGCCTCTTGCGCCGCCGCCTGAACCTCGCCCGCGAGCGCCGAGGGGGCCAGCACGACGACATCATCCAGGTAAGCGAGGACGTGCACATCGTCTGGGTTCAGCCCCCGGCGCTGGGCCTCCCCCCGCAGAGCGTCTTCGAGGGCTGGCAGGCGGCAGGCGGGGGCGCAGCCCGCAAGCGAAGAGCAGCGGCGCCAGCGGGTCCCCCTGGTCTACCCCGCTCGTGGCTCGCAGGCGGTGGCAGACCCCGGCCGCGTCCCAAAAGTAGTACAGGGACTCTCGGCAGCAGTAGAGGTTGGCGTAGGGCAGCAGCTCCGGTGCCACCTCCTCCAGGCCGCGGAGGCAGGCCTCGCGGTGGGCGGAGCAGTAGGCGCTCTTGGCGTCCAGCGCAACTAACACCAAGTCGGGGTTCGCCTCTGCCAGAGCCCGCGCGGTGTGGGCCAAGAGCTCGGTGCCCGCAGCAGCGCCCACAGCAAACTACTGTCTCCCCAGTGCCTCGGTCAAGCCTTCCTTCAGAGGGGCCACCAGCGCGCGGCCCACCAGCCGCCGCAAGATGCTCGGCGCGGCGATCGGACGGACCCCGCCGCCTGGTTTTCGCAGCGGTGTGAGCTTCGCCAGCGCCAGGGCCGCGGCGGCGCTCTCTGGGACCCGGCCCTCTGCCAGGCGGTCGCACACGCCGTAAAGGGCCGCCAGCGCCGCGGGCTGGGCGAGCACGACCCGCCAGTGCTCGAAGCGCCCGCCGCCAGCCGCCGCCCCGCTGCCCCGGGGGCTCGCCTGCACTGCTTTCTTCAAGGCCCTGCGTGGGAGAGCGGCGGAAGCCCAGCCAGCGGCGGCGCCGCCGCCGGCAACGCGGCGGCGGGGCGCGGCTGGAGTAGCGCCTGCAGCTGCAGTGCCGTGTCGGGCGTGAGTGGCGCGAGTCCTGGGCTGCTCAGCAGGGCGGCAGCTCGGGAATACTCCTCCGCCATAGCTTTTCGGAGGACCTCGTCCGCCAGGGAGCGCTCGTCGCAGCCTCCCGCGTCGCCTGCCTGGCGGCGCGCCTTGGCCAGTCCTCGGGCCGTGCTCCGGGCCGCCTCCAGGAGCGTCGCCCAGTCGCCGCGGAGCAGCGCGGAGCAGCGCTCGCGCACCAGCTGCGCGCGGTCCAGCGTCTCCGCCGCCGCGCGCTGTCGGCCCCTCGCGTCCAGCCGGAGCGGGGCGGCGAAAAGCAGCCGCTCTCGCAGCGCCAGCAGTTTCCAAGCGCGCCCCTCCTCCGCGCTCCCGGCCGGGGCCTGGAGGATCCCCTTGCAGAGCTCCTCGGTGGCCTGTCTGGCCGCTGCCCGGGCCTGCCGCGGGACGACCCGCAGCGTGGGGCAGTCCAGCGCAAACTCCTCCAGGAGATCGCAGGCGCCGAGCCCTGCCCAGCAAGCGGCCGTGAGGTCCTGGAGGGCGAAGACGGCGGCAGCGCCTGCCGCCGGCGCGTGTCCCGGCGGCGGCGGCGCCGGCGACCCAGCAGGACCGGGGGCGCTGCCCGGCGGCGGCGGCGCCGGGGCCGGCGAGCCGCCGGAAGTCTGGGCGGCAGCCGCTGTGCCTGCCGGCAAGGGCGGGCCGGGCAGGCTGCCTGGTGCCGCGGCCGCAGGCGCTGCGCTTGCCGAGGCCGCCGTCGCGGCTGGGGCCATCGCAAACCGCGGAGCGTCCAGTGTGCAACGCCGGCAGAGGCGCGTGTCGCAGCCCCCGCAATAGCGGAGCCAGCCGCCTGCTCCAGCCCCGTCGCACACGGAGCATCGGTCCCCAGCCTCTGCTCGGTACGAGCTCGCCTCCGTGCGGCAAGCAGGGCAAATCGGCCCGGGGTGGCTCGCCTCCCCCACCCGGACGCCGGCGTAGCCACACCGACGCCTTAGCGAGGGGCCTGCTCGTCTCCGCGGGCTGCGCCCCGACGCCAATGACGCCCTCGGAGCCGGGTTCCGCCCTGCAGGTCGGCCGGAAGGCGGGAGGGGAATGCGGCTCCTCCTTCCCCTCTTCCTCCTCCTCCTCCTCCTCCTCCTCCTCCTCCTCCTCCCTCCTCCTCCTCCTCCTCCTCCTCCTCCTCCTCGCTCTCCTCCTCCTCCGCCTCCTCCTCCGCCTCCTCCTCCTCCTCCTCCTCCTCCTCCTCCTCCTTGGCGTCTCGAGTTCTTCGAGCTGGGCGTCTTCGGGCCCCGGGACCGCGACAGATCGACCTGACTGGAGCGAGGGACTCAGCCATGCCTGTGCCCATCTCGCCCTGGCAAGAGGAGGCAGGAACCTGCCGGTCGCCCCAGAAGCCCCAGACCTCTGGCGTTCCATGCCGCCGCCGCGCCCACCGTCACCCCGCTACTGCGGGCGGTAAAGACGCGGACATCCCGTCTGTGAGCGATGTCGGAACCTTGCCAAGAGAAATGGAGTACGGGCAAAATGGGGTATGGGCGTTTGCGGACGAATCCTAAACACACCTGTGCCCACGCGGAATATCTCTGCGTTCCCACAACAGACTGGAACTTCTGTTGAGACCACCCACATCCAATCGAGGGCTCGACAATCAACTCAAGATGCTATTGTGCTTACGATGCGTGTGCCTTCACGACACCGTGGCCCACGCGACATACAGCTTGCGCACACCTCAATCTCAAGAGACGAAGAGTACAGGTATAGACGCAGACTGACGAATGGCGCGGAAACACGGGGTCTCGAAATCTGGTCGTGATCTTCACTCCACGATGTTGCAATGGCGTCGCTACGCCCGGACCTCAGGTTCAGGGGGGGAACCCTCCTCAAGGTACCCCGCTGGGGAGGCCCTCCCCCCCAGGGCCACGGCTCGGGCCCCTGGGAATACAGGATACGTTGAGGGATCTGTTCTGCCAGAGGAGAAATCCTCCTCAGTGTATCCCGTAATTCTGGGAAGGCCTCCCCCCCCCATGGCCAGGACCCGGGCCCCTGGGAGTACGGGATAACTTGAGGAGGGCTTTCGTTGGGCTGGGAAGAAGCTCCTCAAAGCTTCCAATGTGAATCTCATGCGGAAGCTCTCCAACAGCCAGAGACCATGGGGGTGGATAGGCTCGACCAGAGGAACAAACAACGGCATAAACATAAACTGTCGCCGGTCCAGCGCGGATTTCTTGGATCCGCGCTGGCCCCTCCTCCCTGGCGCGAGGAGCGCGCCAGGGGCGGCGCCGAAGGCACCGCCAGGGAGGCCCAGCGCAAATTCAAGAAATCCGCGCGGAGCGCCCAAAGTGTATGTTTGTGGCGATTTTTCCTCTTCGCCGCAAGTTTTTTGTTTATGTAGTCTTTTGTTGCTCGATCGCCGGCTCGAGGCTCGAAGTTTCCTGGCGTCTTCGCCGGTTCTCGAAGGGCTTCCCGCCTCGGGGTCGGCAACCGCGCCTCGCCGCGAGCGCTCCGAGGGGTGCCAGGTGCGCCCCGGGCGGACGCCAAGAGGCCCGAGCTGTGACCCGAAAGCCAGACGCGCTGGTCACTGTAGGGGGCCACATGCGAACCCTACCCCAGAGATCCAATGTCGTGATTTTTTCAATACGGGGTCCCTGGAAGTCTCGACCCATTCCCCAGGACCGGTTTTTCATCCTGAGTCGATTTTTGACGGTCCGGGGGCCCGGCGAGGGCCCCTGGAGGCCCCAAAAAGTGAAAAACCTCCGTCTTGATTTTTTCACTACGTTTGATCTCTGGGACCCCACCCTCCCCCTCAGAAATCGTGGGGGGTAGGGGTAGGGTTCGCATGTGGCCCCGTACACTGGGCGCGATGAGCTCACGGGGGGGTCTGCACCCGGGGGGGGGGGCGCCCTCGCAACAAGCACCCGGACAGGCGAGGCCCTTCCGGAAGCGCCCCTGGGCAGGAGAGCCCAGACTCGAATCGAGGAGGCGAATCGGCGGTCGAAATTGATCGGATCGGCGGAAATCGGCAGCCAAGTCGGGAAAAGTCGAATCGGATGAAGTCGGAAGAGCAATGAGGCCTCAGTAAGAAATCGGAATCCAAGTCGGAGTCTGAAGTCGAATCGAATGAGAATCGAAATCCATCAAAACCGAATCGAATCGAATCGAATCGGAGGAATCGAAACGAGCCCTGCCTGGGGAGGGGATCGAGCAGGGCGGGGCCGGCTGCCCCACGCCCAGGGCAGCTTCGTCAGCGCTCACTGTTGGGGCAGGGGTGTTTTCTGTGCCTGCCCTTGACGTCCGGGGGCGGAGGCGGGCGGCCCGCCTAGAGGGAGAAGCAAGGACACAACACACAAACTTCTGGAGCTCCTCGCAGCTTTCCTGGAGCGCGTCTTCCATTGAGCTGCTGAAGCAAGTTCACTTGCATGGGATTTCCCCCCCCCACCACCCACCCCAACCCCAACCCCAACCCCCCTCCGACGCCTCGTGAAACAGTGCTGGGCCGCAACGGCGTGCAAATGAGCATCGACTTGCATGAAGTTCAGAGTTCCTCCAGGGCCAAGTGAACTTGCCAGAGCCTGAAGAACGACGGCTTATTGGACCGGCGCTGACCCCCCTGGCGGCGCCCCTAGCGCCTCCATGCGCCAAGGAGGGGGGCCAGCGCCCATCCAAGAGATCCGCGCGAAGCTCCGAACATGTACTTCAGATTTCGTAATATAAGGGAGGGGGTCACAACCAACCCTCTTAGACCAGAAGTTTTAGATCCCCCCAGAGCATCCATGAAAGGGCGGCACTTTGCCCAGACCCCCCCGAACCCTTCAAGACAGCTCAAATCAGACCCCCCCGCCAAATGTGACCCCCCCTACTTTATTATGGAATCCGGAGTATGCTTCCAGACATGCGACGGGACATGCGACGGCCTGATTTCTTCAGGACGGCATCCCTGGAGGTCCCGACCCTCTCCCCGGGACTCTTTCGTCCTGAACCGTTGCTTGGAGGTCCCCGAGGCCCACCGAGGGCCCCCCGAGGCCGAAAATTCCCAAAAACCTCCCGCCCTGATTTTTTACGACGCGATCATGTCTGGGCTCATCACCACCCACCAAACCACCCCAACCCAACCCGAAGGCCTCAATTTGCCCTCCATTTCCAGTTGGGGGGGGTCGGGGAACACTGAAAAAACAGATATGGAACCCGTACCCCCCCCAACCCAAAATTCGAGTCTTCGGGTTGGGTTGGGGTCTGGTAGGTGGTCAACTCATGCCGTGGTTTCCTCTTTGACCGCCAGCTCGTGGGCCGAGCGCGGGCGGCGCTGGCCGGGCGCTGCTGGAGGTGCCCGGGGCCCATCCCCGAGAGCCTGGGGCGTTGCAGCTCCTTCTGCACCAGGCGTGCTTTCGCCCGCCGCCCGCTTTAGGGCCCCGGGCTCATCACAGATTGGTCTGGCTCGAAAAATGCCGCAGAAGGATGGGGGTCTAAGGCCCAGGTCGCGATGTTCCCCAATCAGTGCTTGCACTGAAGGGGTCCTAGCGGAAGTTGACAGACTTGGCGAAAATTTCCCGCCGATTTTGGTAGCAAGCTGGGTTCCCAGGTTCCCGGTTTCGGGTTCCCAGGTTCCCGGTTATTGGTTCTGGGCCGATTTCGGTGGGTTCTGGGTTCCCGGGCTCCCAGGTTCCCGGTCGATCTCCTCTGCGAAAACCATCCACTGATTGGGGCTTCTCTCTTTGGTGTACTTCTCTTTTTCGACGCCGGTTCTCAGGAATATAAATGACCCGATGTGCCCCCCACGAGTTCCAGGGAGGCCACCACGGCCTCCAGAGCACCCTTCGCAAGGCCCAGCGGGCCCCAGGGGGGCCCAAGATGGAGCGACAAGCTGGGGGTACCTTTGCAGAGAAACAACAAAAAAAAACTACACAAACACAAACTTTTGGCGCTCCGCGCGGATTTATTGGATCTGCGCCGGATCCCCCTCCCTGGCGCGCGGGGCGCGCCAGGGGCGGCGCCAGAGGCGCCGCCGGGGGGGGGGGGGGGGGGCAGCGCGGATCCAAGAAATCCGCGCGGCGCTTTTCCTTCTTCGATACCTCGGGCCAGGGACACCCGCAGCAACCCCCGAGCTTGGGCGCGGGCAGGGCCCCCAGCCGGCCGCTGAGCTCCAGGAGAGGCTGCCGCGCGGGGCCCGCCGGGACGGCCAGCCACGAGGCGGACGGGGTGGCCTCAGCGTCGGGCTCCCCGAAGGACGCCGCGGTGTCCTGCAGCGGGCTGGGCCTCGAGAGCTCCGCGGGGGGGCCGCCCGCCTCGGCGCGCTGCTCGCGGCAGGCCGCGCGCAGGTCGCTGGGGAGCTTGGCGGCCACAGGCTGCGCAGGGGGCGGGCCGGCGGCCCCCGCGAGCGACAGCAGCTGCTCCAGCTCTGCGGCGCGGCTGCGCGCCTGGCCCAGCGGCGCGCGCAGGGCGCTGTTCTCCCGCAGCGCCACGCTGAGCTGCACCTCGAGGAGGAGGAGGAGGAGGAGGAGGAGGAGGAGGAGGAGGAGGAGGAGGATGCACTTCGAGGTCGCTCTTCTCCCGCGCGAGGCGGTGGTTCTGCGCGCGCAGGCCGTCGCACAGCTGCTGCAGCGCCTGCTCGCGCCCGAGGCCTCCGGGCGAGGGGCCCGGGTCGAGCTTGGCCTGGGCTGTGGGAGGTCCGCGCAGATCTCCTGGATGGGTGCTGGACCCACCTCCATGGCGCGCGGAGCGCGTCAGGGGAGGCCCCGCAGGCCCCGCCAGGGGGGCCCAGCGCCGTTCCCAGAAATCCGCGCGGACATCCCAAACTTTACGTTCACGTTACATGCCATCGCTCGAACGTTCATTCCCCCTGCATCCTTCGCAAGATGATCCAGGATGCTCCTCGGTGGCTCTCACCGAGGAAAACGCCGACGTCCGAGCGATGCCAAGTCCCAAGGCTTCTGCTTATGTTGCGCGCTGCTCCCCGAGGCCTGGCGCAGGAGGCCCAGGGCGCGGCGCAGCTCCACCCCGTCGTCGCGGGCGCTGGGCCCGAGACGCTCCACCAGGCGCTCGGCGTCCTGCGCTGGCAGCAGGGCCGCCTGGGCCAGTTCGGCCACGCCGAGGGCGGCCAGCGCGCCAGCGTGGTGGCCCAGGCCGAAGAGCCGCAGGTACGGGGCCATGGCCAGAAGAACACAAAATTTGGCAGAGAAGCCCCCTCGCTCAGGGGCCCGCGCAGATCTCCTGCATCGGCGCTGGAGCCCCCCTGGCGGCGCCTCTGGCGCCGCCCCTGGAGCGCAGAACGCGCCAGGGGAGCGGAGCTCCGGCGCCGATCCACGAAATCCACCGCGGACCTCCGAGAACTGACTGGCCATCGCTCGGACGTCCATTTCTTGTGTTGTTGTTTCGGTTTCGTGCGTGTTTTTTTCGCCAAGCGACCAAGGATGCTCCTCGATGGTCCTCGCCGAAGTAAAAATCCACACGTCCGAGCGATGCCAAGATGACGGCGGTGCCGCTCTGTGCTCTTCCCATTTCGGTGCCCGCCGGCGCGGGGCCCGTTGCGGGCGGCTCGGGCGCCGGCTGCGCCTGGGCTGCCGCCAGCGCCTCCTTCGGGGAGACGCGAGACTCGGGTTCGGGAGACTCGGTAGGGGGCCACATGCAAAGCCTACCCCTACCCCCCAAGATTTCTGAGGGGGAAGGTGGGGTTCACTTCGCTCGGGAGCTCTCGAACGAAGTGAACCCCATCCTCCCCCTCAGATATCGTGAGGGGTAGGGGTAGGGTTCACATGTGGCCCCCTACTCGGGTTGGCGTGACGGGGCCACCATGAAAGTGACAAGACCCAGCCTGAAATATGTGTCGCGAGTTCCCGCTGCAGGCATCCTGTAAAACTGGACCGTCAAAACCCAGGACGCGCTCATCAAAAAGCGTCGGCAGACCCGAGTTCCGGCCTACTCGCAGGAGAGCCCAGAATCGAATCGATAAATCGGATCGGCGATCGAAATTCAGCGGATCGGCAGGAATCGGCAGCCGAGTCGGGAGAAGTCGAACCGGCGGAAATCGGCAGGTTAGTAGGCCTCCGTGGAGAATTCGGAGCCCGCTTCGGAATCCCAAGTCGAATCGAAGCAGAACCGGAATCCGTCGGAATCGAATCGAATCGGATCGGAGGAATCGAAACGAGCCCTGTACAGTGGAGGCCCGTCCACAAGAAGCGTTCCACAATAAACCCGACCCCAAGACCCCAGGACGCCCACGGACTTCGGGGGACGGAGACGCCACGCTTTCCATGGAAAGACTTAAGTCGGGCCTGTCCCCCTACAGGGGGATCTTCGACGAAAAATAAGACATACCCAAAAAAAATAAAAAATAGTCCCAAAAATAGTCCGGGGACTATTGTTTGAGTATCTGTTTGCCCTTTTGGGGTATTTTGGGTGTATTTCGTTTTTTCGTCGACAATCCCCCTGTAGGGGGACAGGCCCGACATAAGGCAAGACCATCGCATCCCCAGGAACCCAGGGCACCCTGAGAGCGAGGAGGAGGGGAGGGGGAGGAGGGGAGGAGGAGGAGGAGGAGGAGGAGGGGAGGAGGAGGGGGGGGGAGGAGGAGGGTGCTTCTTGGCATGGGCCTCCCCTGCACTCGAGCCTCGCGTGGCCCCCGACGCCTCCGCGGGGGGCCGCCCCGGGGGCGCCCGTGGCACGGCGAGGACGCGCTGGCCCAGGCGGCGGCACCTCTCAGGGGGGCGTAAGACCCGGGCACAGGGGACTCGGAAATCCCCGACGAGGTCGTCAAAAAAATGACGAGGCCGAGCCTGCATTTTGACGAGGCCTCCCGCTGCAGACGTCCCACGAAGCTCCTGCTCGTCAGAATCCGAATCGCGGTCGTCAAAAAACGATGGCGAACCCGAGCCCTGGCGAACCCGGGTCTTACGCTCCCCCGAACCTCGGCGGCGGCGCACGGGCCAGAGCGCCGGCCGACCGCGTCATCCGCAGAGGCCGCTGCGCGCATGGGGCGTGCGGGCGCGCCGCCTCGGGGGGGGAGGCGAGGAGGCGCCGAGACGGCGGGGGGCAGCGGGCAACCTGCCATCGCTCGGAGGTCCATTCCTCGTGTATTGTTTCGATGTCGTGCGTGCTTTTTTGTCGCTGGGTCATCCAGGATACTCTTCCATGGTCCTCGCCGAGGAAAACATGCACACGTCCGAGCGATGCCAAGACAATGAGTATCGTGTATCCGATGCCCATCCCCAGCGGCGTGTCCTGGGCCCCACCGGCCGATGTACCCCCCCTGGATGGGGATCCAGGCCGTTCCCTTCGGGTTTCGATCGAGGGGTGTGTCCCCAACTGGGGTGGCAATTTGGGGGGGGTCTCGAAGGAGATGGGGGTGGGGATGGGGATTGGTTCGACGATACCGAGACGAGGAACCCTTCGATAAGGAATCCAGGGTCTGGAAGCTGGTGGATCTCCCATCGTGGATCGGCCATGGGTATCACCGCCGCCCTCATCTGACAAAGGACTCCTCCAGGGTGGCGAGGATCACCGATGCCGCTAGGGTCGGACCTGGGAGGGAGGCACATCCTTCAAGAAAGCGAGACCCTTCGCCGGCCAAGACGCCCCGAACCATCAGATCACTCGAGGGAACGCTCCCCTGGGATGCACAAGAGCGTCCAGCAAACACGAAGTGCATCGGGGCACCCTCCCCGAACCCACCCCGATCTCATACCTCGGTCCGACCGCTCTCCACGGACCTCCCCCGGGGTGCGGTCTCTCGCCATCGCTCGGACGTCCATTCCGTACGCTTTTTTCGGTTTCGTGCGTGGCTTTTCCGCCAAATGATCAAGGATGCTCCTCGATGGTCCTCGCCGAAGGGAAAATGCACACGTCCGAGCAATGCCGAGGTCTGAGCACGCTGTCGAGGCGAGCCCAGCTGTGGCAACGCCGGAGGGGGCAGCGGCGTCGGCATCTTCCCCGACATCCTCCGGCACGAGGTTGTTCCATCCGCGACCCCAGTCCCGGACCCTTTCGGGGATGGACAGACCTCCCTTTAGTAAAACGTAGTCTAGTGAAAACGACTTCGGGCCCAAACCTGGCGGGCGCAAGCCTGGAAAAGAACGGCCGCGGCGCCCTCTCGAGAACCGAAAACGGACAGTTCACTAATCGACGTGTCAGGGTAGGAGGTCTATCCACCTCCGACCCTTCCCTGGGGGTAGCTTTGCGCCCCAGATCCGGTGTTGATGGCCCCGGGGCCTGGTAGCGGGCCCAGGAGGTCGACATCGAGAGAAAGCCCGCCCGGATTGACAAAAACAGGATCGTCGGACATCTGGTCATCAGTGCCTGTTTCTCCCTTACACCTCGGCGTCGGGGAGCGCGCGCTGCTTCACGGATGCGGCCGATGCCGGGCGCACGAGCGTCCACCGGTGTTCCACGCGGAGCTGCTCCTTCGCCGGCGACGCCGCGGGCTGCCAGTCGTCTGCCGCGGCGTCGCCCGCCCAGGCCGCCCCGTGTAGCGTGGCGTCCGCCTTCGACGACGACGACGAGGAGGAGGAGGAGGAAGACGACGAATCCGAGGATGAGGAGGAGGAGGAGGACGATGACGAGGACGAATACGAGAATGACGACGAAGACTGGGAGGAGGAGGAGGAGGAGGAGGAGGAGGAGGAGGAGGAAGAGGAGGAGGAGGAGAAGGAGGAGGAGGAGGAGAACGACGACGACGACGAGGACGAAGCTGAGGATGAGGAGGGGGAGGAGGACGACGACGAGGACGAGGACGTGGACGAGGACGAGGACGACGACATCGACGACGAAGACTAGGAGGAGGAGGAGGAGGAGGAGGAGGAAGAGGAGGAGGAGGACGACGACGACGAGGACGAGGACGAAGACTAGGACGACGACGTTGGGAGAACAAATGTGTACAGATACCGCTGCTCCCCACGCCTCTTCAGGAGTGCGTTCTAGACAAGATCTCGAGGCGAATCCAGCCGTGGCGACGAGGGCTTTGCGGGACCCAGAGATCCGATGTCTTGGTGCTTTCAACACGGGGTCCCAGAAGACTCGACCCACTCCCGGGGTCTGGCTTTTCATCCTAAGTCGTTGTTTGACGGTCCCGGGGCCTGGCGAGGGCTTCTAGAGGCCGAAAACGGCGAAACACTAAACGTCTTGATATATTTCAAAACGTTGGATCTCTGGTGCGCCGCCAAGAATATGTGACATACATTTGGCCAGATGTGGATATGGACATCTTATGTGGATATGCACAGATACGTGCAAGAATATGTGGATATGGATATATGAAATGTCCATGTGCACTGCCGCCAGGGTCGTGTCCCAGGGACTCGGGGAGCGGTGGATATATTTACCTACCCGCAAATGCGAGCGGATAGATATCCATATCCACCACTCCTAGAAATCTCTGGGACACGACTCCGAAGCGGTGGATGTGGACATATTCTGGCGGTGGATTTGGGGGCGATCAGCGGTATCGAAATCTCTCCCAGGCATGCGATGTCCTGATGTTTTCAATACGCGGTCCTCGTGAGGCCCGACCCTTTTCCCAGGGCCAGTTTTTCATGTCGAGTCGTTCTTTGACGGCCCCGAGGCCCAGCGAGGGACCCCTGGGCCAAAACAGTCAAAACCCCCCATGAGATCCGACGACGCGAACAAAATCATCGGTCTGCGCTACTTCCGAGCCGCATCGACCTGCGAGGGTCCCCCGGCGCCCGAAACAGGGCGGCAACGCCCGGCTCGGAAAAATTGGGACGACAAGATCTCCGGGTCCCGCCCTGACTTCCGTCACGGCGCAAGCGCGTCTGGGTTGCATCCCCTGGCCTTCGCTGCATCGGCCGCTGGCGATGCCGGCGCCTCCCCGAAGCCAAGCTCCCCCTCCTCCTCGGGGGCGTCCAAGAAGGGAGCGGCCAAGAGACGGGGGCGCAAATCGCGGCCGGCGGCAAGTGTGCGGCCCAGGGAGTGGGGCGCCGGAGACGCAGTGAAATAGGAAGAGGCGCCATGAAACTTGGGAAGATATCATGGCGCCCGCTATGATCCCACCCAGTCATCGCCCCCCTCCTTCGGGGACTGCCAAAGATGCCCCTGGCCCAAGGTGCTCCCAGCTTCTCGCTCCATCTTGGAGCCCCTGGGACCCCCTGGGCCTCGTGAGGGGTGCTCTGGCGGGTCGGGGACTGCCAAAGATGCCCCTGGCCCAAGGTGCCCCCAGCTTCTCGCTCCATCTTGGAGCCCCTGGGGCCCCCTGGGCCTCGTGAGGGGTGCTCTGGCGGGGAGCGAGGAGGAGGAGGAGAAGGAGGAGGAGGAGGAGGAGGAGGACGAGGACGAGGAGGACGAGGACGAGGAGGAGGAGGGGAAGGAGAAGGAGGAGGAGGAGGAGGAGGAGGAGGGTGAGGAAAAACGTGTCTTTCGGATTGGATCTGTCCCCTGCTCCCGCCTTTAAGCCCCTTATGACCCTCTCCTGTTCCCTTCTGTCCCTCTTTCCTCTTTTTCTTTCTTGCAACCGGCTCGGCTCGAGCCGGCTTGAGGCGAAATTGCGCTACGGACGCGTGAGCGCGAGTGTGAGAAAGACTATCTGCCCCTCGGGCGCTGCCGCGCCCCGCCGCCAGATCCAGCTGTGGATCTGGGAGAGGCAGGAGTCTTGTGTCCCTCGGTTCCGCAGTGGTAGCGGAGCGCTGAGGCGCGCCATTGACACGGAGAGCAGCGGCTGCCAGGCGAGTTCTGTGCTGAACGAGGGCGGCGACGACGTGAAGTGCGACTTCTACCAGTACGAGATCGAGTACGTTACTATGACGAGGAGCGATGAGGCCTTCATCGACTCCAGGGCGGTTCCCGACGATGGGCGGCGGCACGCTCTCACCGGACGCCCTTCCGCCGCGGCATGGCGGAGGCAGCGGCACCTGGCAGGAGAGACGGAGTTCCACCAGCTGGGTGCAGGGGCCGGCGTGGACGGCGGCATGGACGAGCCGCGACCTAGAGGGCATACCGAGCTGGGACGGCAGCCCGAACAAGTGGCGGCGGTACAAAAAGGATGTGGCGCTGTGGATCGAAGGTATCAACCTGGACGTTTCCTGGAGCTGGGCGGCCAGGATGGTGCGGTGCCTGACGGGCCCAGCGAAGACGCTCGGGGAGTCGATCCCGATGGTGGAGCTGCGCGCGAAGCCCTGGACCTGGGTGCGCGACGAGGCGACGGGCAACTCCGAGGCCGAGGAGACTGAGAACCAGCAGCACGACGAGGAGCCCGGCCACTGGGAGGAGCCCGACAGCATGGCGGGCATCAACAGGCTGATGGAGGTGCTCGCGACGATGGGAGTTGACGAACCGACGCGGCGCGGCCAGGTGATGAACTACTTCTATAAGCAGCTGCATCGCAGGGCCAGCGAGGACTCGAATGCGTGGATGATCGGGTTCGGTGAAGCTCGTAGCCGGCTGGACGAAGAGGACGTGGCCCCGCCGCCGAGAACGGCGGGCTGGCGGCCGATCGAGAAGACTGGCCCGAACGAGACGCAGAAGAGCATGTTGATGACCTCGACCGGCCGCAGCATGGAGATTCGCGAGGTGGTGCCAGCCATGATGCGGGTGTTCCCCAATCTGCACATGACTGAGCGGCGGCCTAGTACGTTCGACCGCAGCAGGAGGACGATCACCTTCAACCGTCCGGGGACGCAGCTCTTGAAGAAGAAGGTGATTCGGAAGTTCAAGGAGGCACATGTGACGGAGGACCTCGACGGGCTCAGCCAGCTAGACGAGGGCGAGCTTGAGGCGCTGAATGCGGAGCTCGGCAGCTTCGACGGTGACGCCGACGACGAGACGGTGGACGAGGTGCTGACGACCGAGCAGGACCAGGACATCGAGGGCATCCTCGCCGCGGAGCTGGAGGCGCTCTCGACAGTGCTCGAGGAGGCCGAGAACGATCCCGAGTTGGCCCAGGAGCTCGGGAACTTAGAGAGCGGCGTGGAATCGATGATGGAGGGCCTCATCACGGTGCGGGAGAGCAAGAAGCGCGTGAAGGAG